GCTTTGTAATGCCAGCATATGGTTTGAAGACCTGAAGGGGGAATTCGCCCGCTTGTATTGGCCTTAGAGTCAAAGACCCCATTAGTGAAAAAACAGACCCGGTAATCCAATGAGATTTGTCCAATCCATGCAAATGAGTTATCACTGCCCATTGTGGACAGACCGACACGAACAAGTAACACTCTTAAATGATTCAAAGTGAAATTGAAATATGAGATAATCTCATGAATATACATATAAAATGTTCAGGGAAAAATTTGCATCCGTGAGCTTTCATCAAATGTTTTAAGTTGAGAAGGTAAAGGATTTGTCTCGCCTCCCTTGGTCTCTCATGGCTTTGGTGAGCTAAGGTTTTTAGAGATTGCCGACAGCATTACACAACAGTCCAGTAGCATCTGAGCATTATTTTTTTTCCCACTGAAATAAAATAAATAAGTATATATATATATATATATATATATATATATATATATATATATTGTAGTGGGATTATTATTATTATTATAGTATGATTATTATTATAAAATTAAGTCTCTATTACATACTAGTCAAATTCTAACACTTAAATACATTACTGTAATATAACTGCACTTTAAAGAATATTTTGTAATTATAATTATTTCACTTTAACTACAGAAGTAATATTACAATACTTACATCTTTATTTCTTCACTTGCAAGACTTAAAGTGTTACTGCAACCAAAAATGAAAGTACTGTCATTAATTACTCACCCTCATGTCGTTCCACACCCGTAAGACCTTTGTAGCTTCATAAAATTACGGCTGAACCACTAATGTCACACGGACTATTTTACCGATGTCCTAACTATGTTTCTAGTTCTGGGAACATTTCAGTTGCATTGCTCTCTAGGGTCAGAAAGCACTAGAATTCATCAAAAATAGTTTAATTTGTGTTCTGAAGATGAATGAAGGTCTTACAGGTTTGGAACGACATGAGGGTCCATGAGGGACATGAGAGTAATTCATGACAGATTTTTTATTTTTGGGTGAACTATCCCTTTAAACCTTCAAGCTTTATTTTGGTGGTGGGAAACATTTCAAGTTTCTGTGATAACAGGTTTACAAAAGTTTCTCATTACAAATCTAGTGCAACACTGTGACCTACTGTCTACAAGATATGTTGGGAATGATGTGAATGTGAAAAGCACATAACTCGCGCACACTGCATTCCAAAATGCACACTGAACTAACAGCACATGCAGATATGGAGTTCACAGCTGTACGTGTGTAAATGATCACAGTGCCACACACTACTGTGTGTGTCAAACTCACTGTCAGACAGAAGCGAAAGTGAGAAAACTGGAAACGGTGTATTGATACTGTGGAAAATGAGCACTAAGTCATGAAACTAAATATTCAGACTTGGTATGTATCGAAATATCTACATTTTTGACAACACTATAACATACATACAGTCATAGCCAAATACTTTAACACTCATCTGTCCCTCCCGAACCTATAACAAAAGTGTCCCTCGCGGGTCAAAATGACCCGAAGGCCAAAAATGACACTAATTTTATTTTTGGCCCAGAAAGCTTATATTGGTCCATTTTTCAGTTTTTTTTCCTCTCATTTTTTATGTAGGTTTTTTTTTGGTGATTTTCATTTTATTCACATACAATTCTGGATATTTTTTTGAATGAAAATTAGCATATTTTATACATTTTTTCACCAAAAAAACTAAACAAAGAAAGTCACAATTTCTGCATATTTATACTTTAAACATGATCATCAATCAGGACCTAGGTCACTGAGTGTCTCTGATGCCATCTGGTGGGGAAAAATACATAAAATTGCATTTTATGATTACAGCCACTAGAGGGGCCTATATAACCCTATGGAGATTCTTAAATGAGCCAAACAAGTTAAGTGTTTAAAACTACACCAACTTGATGCTTCATTAAGCTTTCAGATATATATATATATATATAAAAACATTAAAAATAAAAATAAATGAATAATTATACTATCCAAACATGTGCATATTCATACAGTTTCATAAATATGTAATAAATGTAAAAGATACATTTGACTCAAAATTAACTGTTACAGTTTTTTGAAAAAAATATCAAAATGTCATTTCCCAGCAGAAACATCATACAAGCTATAATGTGTTTCAATGGGAGTGTGTGTGCCATGTGTGTGTGTGTGAACATGTGATGAGGCTTCATTAAGCTTTCAGAGAGATATATATATATATATATATATATATAAACATTAAAAATACTATATTTTGTAAAAAAAATAAAAATAAATGAATAATTATACTATCCAAACATGTGCATATTCATACAGTTTCATATGTAATAAATTTAAAAGATACATTTGACTCAAAATTAACTGTTACAGTTTTTTGAAAAAAATATCAAAATGTCATTTCCCAGCAGAAACATCATACAAGCTATAATGTGTTTCAATGGGAGTGTGTGTGCCATGTGTGTGTGTGTGTGTGTGCGTGTGTGTGTGGGTATGTGAGTTTTTTGTGCATTGAGGACATTCTGCAGTCTCAGCCCTTTGTTTGGGTATGCATCTTTTCTGGATTGTGTCAGGTTTTGTATAGTCAAAAAAATCTAATAAATTAAAAAAATGCTGTTTTTTTTCGGACATTCCATTCATTCCTATGGCCGGGTCAAAATGAATGTAATACTCATTTTTTTATTACACCCACACAGAATCCTAGAATCGACTCAAATTTTGTGTGTGTGTGCTCCATGCTCAAGTGTGACAAAATTAAATAAAAAAAATAATCTGCAGATTTTTTCGTAAATTCCATGCTTTTCCAGTGGCGGGTCAAAATGACCCGCGAGGGATACTTTTGATACTTTTTTATAGCACCCACTTAAACTGCTCGAATTCACTAAATGATTTGTTCATGTATTCCCGGTTCAAGTGTGACAAATGTAACAAAGTCTCATACCATAAAGATCAACGTTTGATTTTTTAAAAATATTTTTTTTGGGTCAAAATGACCCGAGGGACGGATGAGGGTTTTAAAGTGAGTTAAATAAATGTGTCTGGTGCTAACCAAAGTAATAAACTAGCTGTTTATATACCTGTACTAACTATAATTCCATAATCAACAACCTAATGTAATCAACAACCTAATGTAATCTACAACGTAAATAAATGAAAACCAATTGGTTTGGTTTCTCAACTGAACTTTAAGAACCCAAACAAACTTTCTCACAAAACTTATTGTCAGGCCATTATTAGAAAACAAAAAAAAATATTTTTTTTGGGTCAAAATGACCCGAGGGACGGATGAGGGTTTTAAAGTGAGTTAAATAAATGTGTCTGGTGCTAACCAAAGTAATAAACTAGCTTTTTATATACCTGTACTAACTATAATTCCATAATCAACAACCTAATGTAATCAACAACCTAATGTAATCTACAACGTAAATAAATGAAAACCAATTGGTTTGGTTTCTCAACTGAACTTTAAGAACCCAAACAAACTTTCTCACAAAACTTATTGTCAGGCCATTATTAGAAAACAAAACATGCGGCATCAGCATGAGAGGTAAACTTCTGTGATTTGTGTACATGAGACAGGAAATAAAAGAGGCTTCCTTATTTGTCTGTTTGTTGTTTTTCTCTCCCAGCCAAAGAGCTTTTGATTCTCTCTATGAGTGTCTCCCACAACATAAATACTTTATAAGACCAAAACAAGTCATTGAGAATGCCTTTCAAGCAAACAAGAGAACATCAGCTAATGTTTAATTGATCAGCAGTGACAAAAGGAAAGAACAATCGTGAAAGAAGTCAACAGGCATCTTTTGCCATATTCCCCATCCTGCCCTCCTCCACCACTGTGCTCGTCACCCCCGCCGTCTGCTGTATCCCACACTTCACTGTCAAACCCCTCGGAAAATACACTGAGGATTTCAATTGTGTGCATTAGTCTGAAAGCAGAAGAAAGACTCTCACATACAGCTCCAATTCCGTATGCCCTAAGTGCACAAAAAAATATGGCAAAGAACAAACGGTGACGAGAAAATGCCCATATGAAGAAGCCAAGGTTTTAAAGGAAACAAGGAAGCTCTGTGTTGCACATGACTGGGTTATAATGTACCTTGAGAAGAGCAGAATTCCCCCAACTGCATTCTACACTTCAAAAGTGAGCCTTGGGTCGGGAGTTGAAAAACACTTGAAGCACGGCGCAGATTTAATGCTGTTTTACTGCCCAAATGGACATCGATCATTTTATTAATGGCACTTCCTGTAACTCAGAGTACTCTCATCTTTAATCTATATTAATGAATATAGTTATCCTCTCTGCATTACATTATTTCATGTTGTGTAAACCATCAACCGCAAAAATAAAACAAGTCATGAGTTTAGACATTTCATACAGCTACTGTATTCCCCAGCGCAAGAGTTGAAAACACACAACAGATTCCTTTATACTTTCCTGAAAAAAGTGAATTTCACTATATTGCAGCACAACAGGGCATTCAGAATGTCATGAGGGTTACAAAAAATCCCTTAAATTGCACTATTATGAGATTCCCTTCACCGACTAACTCGTATTCAAAATCCATCTCAAGGTCAGGCTCAGGATTGTACGGGGAAATCTCAAGCAGGCTTTGTCAACTAACAATGAGCTCTATTTAAGGAGACATTCGTTGGAATGCATGGCTACAAATGCTTGAGAACTTATGAATACATTCTGTGCCTTGAAAAACAAAAAGCTTTTTTTTATGGTCATTCTGGACAATTTCAGTGGCAGACCCCCATTATGCTTTAATGCTGAACTATGTCCATTGGATTCTGAGGTGACATGACTATGGACACCAGAATACATGTTGTGCATTGTTGTATCAATCTCCAGACATCCTAATGAGAAATTCCTGTCACCTCCTATTTCTTTGTCTATTCTTATATATCTATTACTTGTATATTTTGTAAGAGCTTTTGTCTGCATCGTGTCATTGTTAAGCTGAGACAACCAGAGACCATGAAAGGAGATCACTCACCCACTTGGGACATCTCTGGCACTGAACCTTTGTAAGGCCCCTCAATGAACTGTGGGGGGTTGTCATTGATGTCTTGCACTTTGATGATGAACTCTGATGGTGGTTCCAGAGGTTGGTTGGTGTCTCTGTCGATGACCTGTGCCGTGAGCGTGTACTCGGCCTTCTCCTCCCTGTCTAGCCTTTTCATGGCGTGAATGTCCCCCGTCCTCTCGCTGATGGCGAAGATGGTGCCCGCCCCTTCCCCTGCCAGCACATACTTGATGTTCTTAGTCCCCACGTCCAAATCCGTATGGAGCTAAAAAGAGAAACAGAGGAGGGGGATTGAGGCTACTTCCAGTTGCAGCTAAGACCACTCGAGCATGACCAGATCAATGGCATCCACACCGGACCGTGCTGCAATCAATCACGTAAAAGAATTAAAGCCCACCGTCAAGTGCAGAGCTGCACAGTCTCTTCGACATTCTAGTGTTTTACTGTGACGGCTGAATTGTTCAATCTCACAGACAAAAAAGGGGAAAAGAGCAGGCTAAGTCCTGGATTTCAAGGTAATGCTTGAGTTGTGTATTTCATCTATCTGTCATTCACCTCTTCATACATCGCTAGTAGAGGGTGGAGGTCAAAGCGTTCTGCTCACACCTGCCTCAGGGCCCTGTTACCAACTTGAAACCAGTCACCAGGCCACAGCTCCAGAATGAGAAGGCAATTGGGTTGTGTGTGGAGAAAAAAAAGAAAGAAAATAAATAAAGGGCAAGACTATCCTTGACTGCTTCTGAGAGGGAAAACTATGGAAGCCCGTTTCCGCCACTAAATAAAAAAATATAATTTTCCATAGAAAACAGACAGACATCTGCCAAACAAAAGAGAAAGAGGCCCAAAACAGCTACGCCTTCTCTCAGATTTATTTATTTATTTGTTTTTTTTTTAGACTTGTCTTTGTATAGACCATACAAATAAATTAATTGAACCCTTTTTGGTCACATTTTATTTTAAGGTCCAATTATCACCATTAACAAACCATTAACTCTGACGTTTGCCTCAATATATTACTAATTTGCTGCTTATTAATAGTTAGTACGGCAGTTGTTAAGTTTGGGTATTGTGTAGGATTAGGGATGTAATTAGGGATGTAGAATATGGTCACGCAGAACCATAAAAAAAAAAAATGTAAAATTATTATTATTATTGTTATTATTTTGTAAAAAATAATAATAATAGTAATAATAATAAAGGCTTTTTTTCTGACAGAACTTGTGAAGATTTCAATTTCTGAAATGGCATTTACAAAAAAAGAAATCCCTACATAATTCACATCAGTTCGGTAGCTACATCATGTACAGCAACTTCAGCTCCCTTTCCTGAGGTGGTAATATATACAGCCTGGTGCGAGGTAGAAGTACACTTGAGACTGCAGTAACAAGGACAGCGTAACAAGGACAGCGTGAGCTTTGAAATGCGGACTTCAAGAAAAAAAGCAATTGCTTTATAACTATGGTTTCATGCATATGTTGTCTCAGCGGTGCCGTTTCCAGACACTGACAAAGCACACACACTTAAATTGTCACACCTTGCACTTTTGTTCCCCTAATTGTCCTATCATTCCACATGAAAGATGTATCTCATTAACACATCAGCTTCACAACAGTCTTCGCTCTATGAAAACCCCTAAATGAGCCCAAATTAATGATGTGCTTTTTCTGATGGGAAACTTTTTTTCTCTTTCCTGAGATTCTCATGTATTCGAGAAAATGAGCAATAATATGTATTATTATGGATTCCTACAATATATGAACAAAATGTCACAGCAGCAAAACTTCACTTCCACCATTTGTTCATCCCTATGCCCTATGTGTACAGACAACATTTCAAGCTTGCGCTCACACCAGTCTCATTCTGACGAGCGATCGCTTAATCTCAATGTGCAAACAATCGACTGAAAGTGCGGCTGCGGAGGGGAGGGGAGGCAGTCTGTCATTATCTGGGTTGCCAGGGCAACTCCAGTGCTCTAACATCTGACGGCATCCGCATTTTCCCAACTCTCTTAACACACATATAATGGAAAGAGGTCTGGTGTTTTTTGGGTTTTTTTTGGACCATTTTGTTTCAATATTGTCAAATAAGGAAAAAGTCTATGATCACTCCACTGAAGGTACAAAGGAGACAGAAGGTCAAAGAAAACAACAAAATCACAAAGTTAAGTTGATTTCATAATAAATTTGATTAAAAACGTTGAGTACAAGACACTGAGAAATACGGAGCTAAAAAATAACGGCAACATTGGGAAATGTAAAATCCTGGGCAGTCTTAAATCTGCCAGCACACTGGTGTGGATTGACATTCAGAGCTGCCCGACTAGAGCTGAACAGAGACAACAGTGGGTTTTACACCCGTCTCTCTCTGTACCACTGCTGTGGAGTACAGCTTTTATTGTCCAGGAGAAAATATGTCAGTGGCTGTTAGAGATGAACCTTTATAGTAGCCTGAGGAACAATCAGCGGCTCCGTAATGAGGAACCCTCCATCCCTCTACGCCTGCCGACTGCACACTAAAGTGCAGCGTTCAGCCCAACATTGCAAATTAATGATTTTGCCTCATGTCAGGGCAAGTGGCAGAGAGGACGTGAGTAGAGAAGGTTCCCCTTCAGGAACTCGAGCTGCGTCGAGACGCTTTGGGAACGCCCCTTGCGTGACCGCGTTCTGACGCACGTGTCAAATCCGTCTAATGGAGCAGCGAGACGTCACGAGCAGGGTGACGTAAGCACCAGAAAGCATAAAGGCACATCCGGCCGGGCGCAAACCAGCTTCTGCTCTTCAGTAGCACTCTGTGTATGTGTCTGTCTTTTTACTGTTGCCCGTCCACACAAGCACTCATATATATATAAAACAATGAGAAGTCTATGGCGAGTGAACGGCATTACAAACGCTGTGTTTCTCCCTGCCCACGATATCTGGCGGCAGGGAATACATACGATTTGTGTGTCGTTTGTTTAGGAGCAGAGCATGCACGGTCAGCTTTCGAGCAGCTGATTGTCATCACTGCGAGCTCCTGCTAAGCACGCTCCGCTCTCGCCTGGCTGTGTTTGATGACAGCGGCCAGGCTCGCGATCCCGCTGGCAGGCACAGCGCAGACTGTTGTCGTGGGGACCGCGGGTGGATTTAGCGTAGGGATCCGACACCTACAGAGATGTTGTGTCAAGCGTTTCAAAAATGTCAACCCAAGGACCATCTCAACGGTCAATTAGCCATTGTTTAAGAATAGTGCTCTGCTTGGACTAAGTACACTGGACCATGTGCTACTGCAGGCCTTCAAGGTCACCGTAGTTTCAGCATGGTGCCTGCTGAAAGGTTTCATGCATGTTGCAAGAGCAAATTCCTGTAATGGATTCCGGGGGTTTCAGAAGCGATGCCATTTATATTTTAACAGCCACTAATGACATTAACTTACTTCTCCTCCTCATCATCAGAAGCATCACTATAATTCATGTCAATGCTATATAGGCAACATAGTTAACACGGCTTTCGTAGTATGTTATCTTTTCATTTTGCTCATCTAGATGAAGTTGTAGCCATTGTGGTTGGCATGTGGTGCTCATGTGGGAGATGTAGGTTCAGATTTGGCTGTGTGTCACATCCAATATTAATTTCCCTCTCCCCCTATTATTTCTCAACTCTGTAATTTCACCATCTGCTATGTAATTTCCAACTGAAACTACTAATAACTGCAAAAAGTATTGTATTATTCAAAAACAATATTCTGTTTGCAATCAGCCTTAACTTTTTGTTTAGCATTATTTCATATGTAAGCAAGTGCTCATATATATAACACTGACTCTCTCTCTATATATATGAGTCAGTGTTATATTTATATGAGCACTTGCTTACATATAAGATAATGTTCTGTTTCAAATATTGAATATGGGCTGTATGGAAAATAAGCTATGTGTATATGTGCATAATGAACGAGTTTAAATGTAAATACTTTCTTCATGATAAAAAGATTGCATGCTGCCTGATAAGCCTATTGTTAAATTCTTGCAGTATGAGATAAAATGAACAGGCTATACATAAAAAGTAATGATTGTTATTTTTCCAGCTCACCCTACATTTGACACTGTATGTATTCAATAAAACAGGATTCCAACCTTCAGAGAAAATAATAAATGCCCTAATGAAAAACAACGAGAGTAGGCATGTGATGCATGCTTGACTAATGAATACCACATGGTGCCTTGAATGGAGTGGCTTTCTCAGTAACCTTCCCAGGTACATGATTAGCCTTCCTGTGCTCCTGATTTATTCCAACTGTGCTGAGAAGGAACCAAACAGAGCAATTGTTATTGCTATACAAAGTAAATGTAATCAAATCAAAAACAGATAGATTTTCATGAAGCAGATCCAACTACATATTCAGATACAAAACTCTGCTACAAAAGAGCTTTATCTTTGTCCAGATAATACAGATTGAGAATCTAATTTCATATTTTAGCATAGTCGTTTTTTTTTTTTTTTAACCCGCTGCTTTATTTACTGAGTGGCTGAATGGACTGTGGACTGTAACAGGATGTGATTACTGATTTTCCTGTTAAAACATGCATTGATTTCACACAAGTAACACCATCACAAGCAACACGTCAGGTCTGGGCCTGGACTGGTTCTGTTTAAGACTGGCTGTGACTCTGAACTTCTGGTCTGCTAAAAACTAATCAGATATACAACAATCTTTCAATCTAGAAACCACTAACAATGGAACAAATAATAATAATAATATGAAATAAGTGAAATATGAAAATAAAATCTCAACTATATAACCATACCATTTAAAAGTTAGGAGTCAGTAAGATGTTATTTCTTTCTTTCTTTCTTTCTTTCTTTCTTTCTTTCTTTCTTTCTTTCTTTCTTTCTTTCTTTCTTTCTTTCGTGAAAGAAATGGATGTTTGATCAAAATCCGCATATCAGAATGACTTCTGAAGGATCATGTGACAATGAAGACGAGTAATGACTGCTGAAAATAGCTCTGCTCTGCCATCACATGAATAAATGTCATTTTAAAATAAATTAAAATAGACAAGGGTATTTTCGATTTCAATATATGTATTAAATTATATTTTTGATCAAATAAATGCAGCCTTGATGAGCATTAAACTCCTTTCTAAAACATTTACAAATTTACCGACATCAAACTTAAAAAAAAAAAAAAGTATAATACTAATAACAATAATAATAAACTGTGTGTGTGTGTTTGTATATATATATATAACTTGCATCCAAAATGAAAGTTTTTGTGTACATAGTATATATG